CTGGCTTTAGATATTGCTAAGACAAATCTCCGTACTGACTCATGGATGATGGCAGATGCTCTGTGGGGGTGGCTACAGCAATGGAAGCGGAGCAACCGGCAGCGCGCAGGTAAAGCCATCTGGGCTGCTGAATCGTGGCAAGATATTGCTGCTTGGGTAGAGAACCTGGCGGTAAACGTACGTCACGTAGATGCTTACATACCCAAGAGTCGTGCCACTGAAGAACATCGAAAAAATGAGCTGGTGGACCAGGCTGCTAGAATTGAAGTGGCTTAGGTGGAACTGGACTGGGAACATAAGGGTGAGCTATTTGTTGCTCCATGGGCGCATAACATGCCAGGATGTTCAGGAAGGGATGCAACATACGAACGTGCTTGTGATCAAGGGGTGGACTTGCCCATTGGTGCTATCACATAGGTTATCCGTGAATGTAAAACATGGACCATAATCAAACAAGCTAAGCAGCTAAAGCCTTTTTGGTATAGAGGATGATGGCTGAAATATCAATATGGGGAAGCCTGGCAGATTGATTATATCATGCTACCAGGAACACACAGTGGCAAGCACCATGTGCTTACAATGGTGGAAGGGACTACTGGATGGTTGCAAACATACCCTGTGACCCATGCCACTGCTCAGAATACTACCTTGGGCCTTGAAAAGCAAGTTTTATGGTGACATGGCACCCCTGAAAGGACTGAATTAGGCATTTCCAGAACAACCTCATAAACACCTGGGCTAAGGAGCATGGCGTTGACTGGGTGTATCCCATCCCCTATCACGTATCAACCTCTGGGAAAATTGAAAGATACAATGGACTGTTAAAAACTATGCTGAGAGCAATGGGCGCTGGGACATGCAAGCGTTGGGATACAAATTTAGCAGAAGTCGGCTTGGCTAGTTAACACTAGAGGATCTGCCAGTCGACCTCTGCCCAATCAAAACCCCTGTGCACTGTGGAAGGACATAAGGTCCCTGTTGTACATCTAAGGAACTGGCTGGATTACTTCTTCCTTGGGAAAGGGTAAACTTGTTGGTGGGATTGCTTTTGCTCAAGGACCTGGGTGCACTTGGTGGGTAATGCGGAAAGATGGGGAAGTCCAATGGCTTAGATAGATGGACTCTTCAATGGGTATAAACTGGTTGGATGACCAGGCCCAGAGAGTTGTGATCAATGGACATAATCTAGTTGGTGGCCAGTCACTAGCGGTGTTGCCCAGGGCTCAGTTTTGGGGCTGGTGCTGTTCAACATGTTATAGATGATCTGGACATGCGGGTTCAGGGCACCCTCGGTAAATTTGCAAATGACATTGTCACTGAAATTGGGACTAAAACTCCTTAACACCGTTGTAGTGTTAAGAAGCAGGCATTCTCTTTATTGCAGCGCTGGATATACTGGGAATCACTCCACCTAACGTGAATCCCAAATAAAATGAAGATATGTATTATATACAATAAGACATTCACGTATTCATAGTATACTACATATTCATTGTATTTGCAAATGACATTGTCACTGAAATTGGGACTAAAACTCCTTAACACCGTTGTAGTGTTAAGAAGCAGGCATTCTCTTTATTGCAGCGCTGGATATACTGGGAATCACTCCACCTAACGTGAATCCCAAATAAAATGAAGATATGTATTATATACAATAAGACATTCACGTATTCATAGTATACTACATATTCATTGTTATTTGCACTCATCCCAAATAAAATGAAGATATGTGTTATATACAATAAGACATTCGTGTATTCATAGTATACTACATATTCATTGTTATTTGCACTTAGGATTGGTTATAAGCTTCTCACTTCTAATGTAAATTAGTAGGCATTCTCAGTAAGCACTAATGAAGCCTCTATACTAACTACGCATGCTCCCCAAGCGGGGTTTTGCCCTCTTTTAGGGGGGCAATTTGAGTTGGAGGTCGCGATCTCCCACTACCACAATTACCTCTGTCCTGCTCTCAGCCAATTTATTGTTGTCTGTGGGTTGTAACGTGTGATCAGCTTGGCTCCCTTCATGTCTAGCACTCTTTCTCTTGAAGGCCTCTCTCCACATTCTTGCCTACTAGCTTAGATAACTTTGTCCTATCTATGTAACAAATGTTCTATCATTTGTTCTTTTCTGGGTGTTTCTCAACCTTGAGATGCCAGGCTAAAGAATGTGCCTGCTTTTCTGTTAATTTAGCTGAGTTATTTAACCCTTTGGTACCAGTTTCAGTGTGTGTTATCCTTCTGTAATTGCTGAAACATACAGTAGTCTTCTGTTTAAACAATATTAGGATGTTTTTCTTAATTTATATACTTACTTTGGAGCTTATAGCAAAAACTCTTGTAACCATTTAGTCTAGTTATAATAAGGTATTTTCTCAAGCGTGTACTTATCAACACCAAGCTGGGTGGGAGTGTTGATCTGCTGGAGGGTAGGAAGGCTCTGCAGAGGGACCTGGACAGGCTCGATCGATGGGCTGAGACCAACAGCATGAGGTTCAACGAGGCCAAGTGCCAGGTCCTACAGTTTGGCCGCAAAAGCCCCATGCAGCGCTACAGGCTGGGGGAGGAGTGGTTAGGAAGTAGTCAGCGAAAAAGACCTGTGGGTGCTGGTTGACAGCCGGCTGAATGTGAGCCAGCAGTGTGACCAGGTAGCCAATAGCATCCTGGCTTCTATCAGGAATAGTGTGGCCAGCAGGACCAGGGCAGTGATCGTCCTCCTGTACCAGGCACTGGTGAGGCCGCACCTTGAGTGCTGTGTCCAGTTCTGGGCCCCTCACCATAAGAAGGACCTTGAGGTGCTGGAGCGTGTCCAGAGAAGGGCAACAAAGGTGGTGAGGGGTCTTAGGCGGAGCGGCTGAGGGAACTGGGATTGTTTAGCCTGGAGAAGAAGAGGCTGAGGAGAGACCTTATTGCTCGCTACAACTACTTGAAAGGAGGTTGTAGCAAAGTTGGAGTTGGCCTCTTCTCCCAGGCAACTAGTGACAGGACAAGAGGGCATAGCCTCAAACCACGCCAGGGGAAGTTGAGGCTAGAAATGAGGAGGCATTTCTTCACAGACAGGGTCGTTAGGCATTGGAATGGGCTGCCCAGGGAGGTGGTGGAGTCACCACTTAGTGCCATGGTCTAGTGGACATGGTGGTGTTTTAGGGCAAAGGTTGGACTCGATGATCCCGGAGGTCTCTTCCAACCAAATCAATTCTGCAAAGCAACAGTCAAGATAATGAGTTGTCAGGAATGTCACAACCTCCATTGCAGTAATGCAGGCAGCTCATTTTCATCTACTTGAGCTTGTAAGGATTTAGACTAGAACTAAGGAGCTGAAACAGAAGTTTTAACTGCGCTGTCAGGTTCTTCGCTCACATGAGAGATTGCACATAACAGAATGCAGATGACAATGTACGTGACGAGGACACTCTGAAATACAACAAGAAGAACATTTAAAGGATTAGTTATTAGGAACAGTTATTTTGTTCCACTTCAGTCTAATGAAATTTCTGCAATTAAGTTCAGCATCTAAGAATGACAGGCTTGCATATCTATCAATCAGTTCTCTTCTCAGTATCTTCCACTTTTTTCCCTCTGGGAAGGATGTGGGAATGAGGCCTGAGGCTGTGAGATAATGTGGTGAGGGGATTAACGAGGTGTGCTAGTTGCAACACGCTGCTGGAGTTAATGGCCTGTTGATGGGGGTGACAGGCTACCAGGCAGAGGCCAGATAGCCCTTACTGTTCTATCAGCCAGATGGAAGGGGAGCGATACCTGTCAGTTCTGTTCCGCCCTGGCCCAAGACCCACAGCATGACCAAAGGTAATCAACACCTTCATTATCCCTCATTTACATATGAAAAATACACCAAACTGACAAAGTGACTCCCCTCCCCAACAATCACAGCATCAACAGGTAATTTGACTACAGTCACACCTCCACTTCTCCCAAAAATATGCATTCGGCATTTTAAATCCTCCACGGCAGAGGATGAGAATATGACCCCACTTTGCAGACAAGTCGATGGGCTTGCTCCTCCCTCCTCCCCAAAGCAGGGACGCCTCTTTGGTAAGGGCTGCACCTCCGACTATGTCAGACAATACCCGAGTAGAAAATACATATTTAACACTAATGCAGCAATTGTATTTATTACTGGTGATCTGCAAGAATCTGTATCTGTTGCTTCAATAAACTCCACTATTTGTGCATCTGGCCGTGTTGGTTCAGTGAACGCAACTAGACTTATAGTATGTCGTGCTCTTTGTGCATCTGGACTTACAGTGTATCACACTATTTGTACATCCCTAGCCATGCTAGTTCAATTTAACACTGAAATGGCTATTGAATGTGACCAGACTTACAGTGCTGTAGTGGCTATCACTCATAGTCTAAGCCCAGCCGCCCCCAACCCCTCTGAGGACAAGCTGGAACGCAAGAGGGTTTATTTTCTGCCACACTTCCATACTCTTTAATGCAACAAAGGAACCATACTCCTCCCACTGAGCCAGCTGAAACAGTCCATTCTGTAGAGAACCTCAGTGCTGGGCATGCAACAGCATTACACGAGGAGAAAATACACACTGTGTCCAAAAAATGCAGGCACTGGCACTTTGTAGCATCCATTTCATTTCTACTCCAAACTGTTCTGGCTTTGGAATTCTTTATTTGGTTTGAAGTACGCTGAACACAGATCCTATGTCAAAGTTCTTCCAGGTCTCTTCCCAAGCTTCCCTCCCACCTCTTACCTGCCAGGCTGGATAACCAGTAATCCAGAACATTACTAGATAAACAATCACAGAACTGAAGCTACTAAAAGAAGGCAGAAGTCAGCAGCATCAGATAGGACTGCAGGGACACACTTTTCCCCTCTAACACTCCTGTTCTAGGCTCCTGGAATATGTGTAAAGCAGTAGGAATTCTGTCAAAAATATAGGGGAGGGAGAAACGATGTGTTCCCTAGGTGTGTGCCCTCCAGAACTGAAGTCTCTTCAGGTGCTGCCCAGCCCCATCACTGAGCTAGAACGGCGCTGTGTCATGCAGCACCTGGAGAGATACCGCTGCTTTCCATCAAGCTGGGGCAGATAAAGCCCTTATCCTGTAGAAGGGCTCTTTGCCGCATGGGGCAAGAGAAGAGGCACAGCTAGTATCTTCACTGTAAGGCAATGGAAGACCACCCTTCAGCCAGGAGTAGTTCTTGTAGAGTTTTTTTTTGCGTCTCTTTTCTGAAGGGTCTGCATTTCCTCCTTCACTCTAAAGCAGCTAGCTCCTCCAGAAGCTGCTCTTTCTCCTGCTGCAGCTCCTGCATCCGCTGTTTGTTCTGCTCTAGTCTGTCCTCCAGCCACTGAAGGAGCGGCCCACTGATGGCTGACATCTGGCTGCAGAGGTTCTTTGTGAACACTGGAAAGAACAAGAACATATCATGCCAATGCAAACACACAAAAGACTCAGTGTGCTACAACAACCGCAAAGCCAAGAGCATTAGAGATGGCCAAGGAAACACCCCAACATCCTGGCCAAGGCAACCAGACATCCCCACAAGAAAGTCAGACTCAGCAGCTTGCTAACCAGGGAAACAAGCTATTTCAATGTGACCTTTAGACACCTAGGGGAGGGAAGACAGACCTGCAACAGAAATCTGGAAATCTGCATATGTCATCATTGATGCTAATTAATTTCTCAATTCAGAAGCAACGAACGCTTCACTTATTGAACAGGTGAGAATGGACACCTGTTCAATGGGGTATTTATTTTGGAACAGAAGCGGGATTAGGATTCACCCTATCTCACTGGCAAAAGCAAAGATGTCATATGCACGTAACATATGTGTATAGGAGATGCAAGCATGCATATAGATCAGCCAGACATTACTTTAAGACTCACCAAATCCGAAATCCCCTTGCTGTTCTAACAGAGAAGAAAAAAACCCCACACAACCCCAAAAAACCCAAACAAACCCAAAGTCTATTGTAATTTTAACCAATTGTACAAAGGTCAAAGGATACAACATCATTCATAAACCCCAGAATTAGGTTATTTAATAGTCCTTGATGTTTTCCTTTAAAGTGATCAGCTACAATTCTGTCCTTCCACTAGACTTTATGTAACAACAGTCCCAGGGAATTCTCTGGGTTACATTATTTTTGCGATTGGAAGTGAACTGTATGGCAAAGAAAAACACAAAAGTTTGTACTTCTATCCTTATTTACAAGCGTCTTTTATGGCAAAGGGAGGACTGTTACACAGCTGTGGTCTACTGTTCCCTGAAGTTAGATCCAAACCAACCCCTGCTCAAGGCTCTACTGTTTTGACTCTGGGAGTAGCATCATGGATTCTCGCGTGTAAAAAAAGAAGAATCCGTACCTGAGCCATTATGAATCTTGGTTACGGAGTCTAGATGGGTGAGGCTAAAGAATGAACAGAATGCAGGTTAGTGACAAGATAGCAGTGAATTGCACATTAGGCAAACCCAGGCTATAGAACCAGCTACCTACACGTCACTGACACTGCACACACATCTAAACCTCTTCACTTGTTGAAGCCCTGTACATTCACAAGGATAACAAAGTTTACAGCATAGAAACATCAGTGTTGAGCACCAGAGGTAGGGAAAAAAAAAAAAGCTGATATTTAATCTCATTTTTCAGACTTCTTCTAGGCACTCTTACCCTGGTTAAACACTAATTACTGTCACACACAGACACACCACTGAAGTACCATCGTTACCTCCCACATGCTCTAGCTCTTTTTTTCTGTTGCAGCAAAGGAACAGTTACGCTTAGCTCTTGTGTGCAAGGCTGAGAGAACTTGAGCTCCTTAATGTGAAAGGTATTTAATCAGTTCTCCTAGAAAGGCATATGAGCTGCTAATGCTTCTTATTTTCTATACCCCTGCTAAGGTTATGGTGCTTTAAGTACAGCAACAGTAGAGAGAGTCTTGGAGAGGACTGCAGCCTCATTGTTGTTACCTGTGAATTCTCCTGTAGGCATCTTGCTCTTCCTGGCAAAGGATCTTGGGCAGCTCTACAGCTGATTCCAGACACACTTTCCCAATGGTTTCATGGGGGACAACATGAATAGGAATTTCAATCCTTTCATATCTAAAAGGGTATCAGATACAATTAATTTCAAAGCAGCGGGGGGCAGGGGGAAGACGTCTACAAAGCTGCAACAGTCTGTCCAACGCATGGCACTGTTGCAGGTTGACTTTTGGGAACACACGCCTGAGTTGACAGGCAAACTGAAGCCTTTTATAGCCACACACTTGTCTCAAATTTTGATGATAAAATGCTAAAGCAACTAGATGGCCAGTACTGAATATGATGCACAGCGTGTGTGCGGTTGGTGGGGACTCTACACCATGCAAGCTTGAAGCCTTGACCTCTAGAGCTGAAAGCAAAACGGTTGGCACACAACAGGTTACAGCACAAATTCATATCCAGACCACAGTGTCCTACACCAAATCTTAAGCTACAAAATTATCTAGGCTAAATTAATCAGTCCTAATCTTTAGATTCTCTTCAAGCAGGCTGCATTAGCAGAAGTAAGGAGACCTCGTTCAGGCATCTCTATACAATATTTGCTCCTCGTGATGAGCCTAGAAGCCACTTATTTGAGACAACACAGAAAGGAGAGATCAGATGATGGACATAATATTCTTCTGCTGTACTCACTCTGAGCTCTTCTGGGCCTGAATGGACTGGAAACAGGTGTAGAGAATCCTGCCTGTCTAAGAGAGATAGCAGAAAGTCATTCCTTTACGAAGCAGAATATGCTTTCAAATACCATTTTAACAGGTTGCAAAAGTACACGCTTTTCATTCTGATTGGTAAGCTGAACTGTTTACAAGCAGACATTGACAGACTCATTAACTATGAAAAAAAAAAAAATTAAACAACAGCTACCCGGAAAACCTAGACAAGACACACCACTGTCAGCTTATCTCACACTATAGCAGCATCTCCTAAAGAAGCCAGAGGCACAGAGGTGCAATAAGCTGTATCTGCTGGACTGAACAGCTGAAGGGCACTCACACATTTCAATGCACACACATGCTGCAGCCATCTGATGCAGTCCCAGAACTCTGCTGGCTGGAAAGCCAGGCTGTGGATCAGCACAGAGTAATTAATAACTCATTCTTTTGTCATTGGGATTACAATTCAAACATCACCATTCTAGCTGTGCTTCGACTGTGCTGTAAGCAGAGCTCAGCCCTTCTTGCAGGCTGCATCCAAGGATTTCAGTTTTGCCCTGGGGCTGATGTTTCTCATGAGTACTTGGAGGGTTTATTGCCATTTTTAAGTTGCCTACCTTTGTATTTTTGTCCTCAATGAAGCAGGAAAAGATAAGCCCTACAAAACCTTGGTCCATCATCTGATACATAGCTTGTGTGCGGACATCTGCGGACAAAGAAATAAGAGAATGAGAACTGCACTGGTGACCTGAACGAGTGGGAAAAGATCTGCCATCTTTTGAAGAGTGACCTGGAATTTGGTAACAAATGTCACAAGCTTTATTTCAAAGTCCTTACTCCAGGTGACTAAGTTAAAAAAAAAATAATAATCCAATTTTAAATGTAATTAAATAGCAAATCTTAAAAATACAAGATGAGTTAACAGAACAAGAAGTGATCTTGGCATCAGCCTGGCGCCACAGATGACTATATAGCCATAACGTCCAACACGTGTAAGATACTCACATACTTCTTTCAAAAAAGTTTTTGGTTTTGCATTGACACTCACAGATGTCAAAAAATCATCATAGCAAGCCCATGATTCCCACAGCTTTTTTTGCTATCCTAGGTCTAGTTTTCCCACCTGGAAGAACAGTAGCACTACTAGTAGCTGATCTGTGACTACTGAGTCACATGCAGTTTCAGCACCTGGAGCACACAGACAGAAATGATCCTACACTGCCAGATGTTCCTGAAGTCCAGCCAGACAATCTTGTCCTACCAGAGGACGTTTGAGAAACTAAACTTTGATAGCTGGGATATGCAGCTCTGAAAAATCCAGTAAATTGAGTAATAAAATTAGCCACCTGTGAGTTTTCATGTAGAACCTAGACCAAGACTGCTCTTACCCACATGCGATGGCCAGACAGTAATATGAGGATGAGAGTGATACCAGCCCACAACTCTCATGGGACGTCCCGTTATTTCAGCCAACCTGTGTGTGAGTCAAGGTGTTTTTGAAACCAACAGAACAAAAAGTTTTTTATACAAGGAAAAACAGCAGAGTTTTAGGACAGTTTCTCATCGGTCAACAGAATTCCAGATCCCTTTAGAGGGGTGACAAGACACACAGCAGGGAGTTGACGGAAGCTTCTTCCCCAGCACTGGCAGGATGCCACTGCTGCAGAAGCAAATCGGATTTTTTTTTGCCATGTGGCAGCAAGAGATGTGGCAGTAAGAGACATGGCAGCAAGCTGTCCAAAACAGCATCCTTGAGTGTATGTAGAGAAAGGGCTCTCCAGTGCACCACGCTTGGATACAGAGACTTGTCAGCCTTTCATTTTTACTAAGTCTCAAAATACCCTCCCCCAAAAACATTCTTCATTTCTACTTGTGACCAAATACAAAGAAGTTATACAAAACAGTTATAACACAATTCTACTGCAAATGCTGGAACCAACAAAGGCTCCAGAGAATGGAAACCGCCAGCACAGCCCTCCAAACTGAACAGTTGTAGGAGGGAAGCAGCAGACAACTTCAAGCCAACTAGAACAAGCCTAAAACAGGGCACATAAAAAGAGGTCTGAGGTAAACCACTTCACTGGTGAGTCTGCTCCTGCCTCTACTAAAGGATATCTCTGCTTCAGTAGAAGCAGCTGAAAGCTGCTCTGGTGAAATTTCCACACGGTCTTTTCTCTTATCTGAGCGGCGCAGGATGATCACAGAATGGATATGAACAATTCGGCTGGTGTCAACCTAATGACACAGAAAGAAAAATCGATCATTCCTATGCTAAAGAAATAACCACCCCCAAGGAAAAGGCCAGCTCCTGTGCCTTCAGCAGGGAAAAGGTACCCGTCAGAGCACAGTCAGGTGTGTAGACGGGAAGCTTTCCTAACGCCAAGCTTTGACTTTCACAGCAGCTGGAACTACGAGTCGGCCATAGGCAGGAGCGAGAGGGAAGGCCCGAGGCCCAGCCCCACAGCTCTGCTGGGGAACCGCTCGCCCAAGG